AGTTCGTCCCGAAAACGAACAACTCCTAAGGAACAGATACTATATAATATATATAAAGGGGTAGAATTATCCGTAATATATATGGGAAGACCTGCAAGACGTGGAAGAGTATCCAGGAATTCAACTGACACAAGAAACTCTAAAGAGAACGTCATGTAAGGCCTAACTATGAAAGAAATCTACAAGCTGGTTTACAACCTGCCTTTAGAACAACCTTCAGCAGAACGTTGAAAAATGAGTTGAGTGTTGTTTCTCACAATATAGGTCCTCAAAACGTTACTTGCATGCATTGTGGCGCATTTCACTTCGCAGATAGAAGGCCACAAATGGGCATTTCAACGCATGTTGCCTCAATGGACTCATTAACATGCCACAACCACAATTAAGAAGGTACTTTGCAAAACTGGATGTTACAGGCTGACGTGTTTCTTTTGGAATTAAAGTTGGCACTTCACACTCATGGCCTGTCAATGCATAAGTTGCTGACCTTTTTAGGACTAGACTGTCATCCCATAAGTTGTTTATGTTCTCTGTATTCATCTTGAGATATACGACTGTCATCCCAAAAGTGGTTGATGTTCTGTGTATTGACGAACCAAAAGAAATGTTTTTACATGATTCTAACTTCATAAAAAACATAAGGTAATACAACAGTGCCATGGCTTTTGCGTCACTTTCCGTTACACAAAAAGAGATTCCGGGAAATGGGCCTTACTGTTTTAAAATTCATGGACAAATTCATAGATATATTTCTGACTTACTACCGCGAAATGGGGATTTGCCTACATATGGACAATTGTGTCTAAATTAGGTGGCCCCTACAGGCCACTAGTTTATTGTTAAATGTGTATTTTAACCAAAACTAATAACTATATGGATATATTGAGTGTGGACGGGTCAACTTAAGGAAGGCTAAATTTAGGTAGCGTATTGACTAGTTAACGATCAACCAAACAGCTGTATCGACGCCGACAACGCCTACTTCAGCTCCATCATTTGTCAACCGCCAACCACCCTCAAGGTGAAAGCGCTCACTATTCGTCATATTATGCACATAATTTATTGATCAGTAGGCCTAACTTTGATTTGTCTTCAACAAATTTTAACAGCAAAGTATCAAGACGTAACACCTCATTGAGTATATAGTTTCACTCTAGACATTCACAGTGGAGAAGCTGTTTCTAAACCGTTGAATTACTCATCTGTGGTGATTTCACACCGTGCAATCAGGAGCCGCAGGTCAACTTGCAGTTACTGCATAGTTTGTTGAAGTTTAAATTCTTCCTTTCTGTAAACGTTATTAACCCTTTGAGGTCGAATATTTTCCCCATTTTTCAGCGAGTATAGTTTGCCATTCCAGTAGTCGGGAAAATGGTATTCGGCGACTTATACTCTCCGTTTGACCGCAAAGATAAATTTTTTGATTTTTTGGGGGTGAGTATAGGTAGCCATTTTTAACAGTCGGTAAAATGGCGGGCGGCGACCTATACTCGCCATTCGACCTCAAAGGGTTTTAAACGTTACGATGATCTTATAATGGGTGAGGTGAATAAAAGGTAGTATTTGGTAGTACGTACTTCTTTTTGAAGTATTTACTCGGTTTTCGGTGAATAAACATGCTAGTTCATACTAGCCTCTAGTACAAACTACATCTTGCAGGTGAATAAAATGCTAGTTCGTACTACCCCTAGTACATACTTCGTCATTTAGGGAACGTAGTATCTACTAGGCTTTTTCGGTGAATAAAAACCGGCCCGCATAGTAGTTACTTCATTTTTATGTAGTACGCTCATGGGCATGCTTCAGTTTGGTCGTTTGCGAAGATGGCGATGTTTCTCCAAGTCCATAACAGAAAAAGGTACCTTGAAATAAGAAATATTGTTAACTGTAAGCAATTACAGTACTATGATTTGAGAATGATATTGTTGATTTGTTTACCAACAAGTTTTTTTCCTTCTCATTTTCTCCTATCAGATCTCAATTCCTTCTCTAAGCTTAGTCGGTTTATTTCCCTTAACATTCCTCTTCGTTTTTTTCTTCATCGCATTTTTCATGTTATCTGTTAAAATCCTTACCAAGAGTTTTTTTTTTTTTTTGTATCATCTAACATTTTCAACACACTGTTTTCCCCTTTACTACACCCGGAAATTTAGATTTATCAAAGTAATAGAAATGTTTTTTTCGCAGCTCACTAATCAATATTAAAGCCCTATCACCCTCTTGCAATACCTAGCCAACGCCATAAAAATTGTCGTCAAGCGCAGTTACTAGGGCTATTTGATCAACACGACTGAGAAAACTGCAGGTGCAGACAGAAATGGCAAACAGATTATCGCCGCGCGCCAGTTCTGTCTTGATTATGAGTACGTACTAAGAGGGTAGTACATACTACATCATTTAGGGAACCCCTAGTACTTACTACCTAGTTCTAGCTAATTCTTATTCACCTAGATTTGAGCAAGTGCTAGAACTACGTAGTACGAACTACGTAGTATGTACTACTTTTTATTCACTTCACCCAATCTGATCGCAGTACGGTTGTGATGATCTGCATTGTTGTTGTATGTTTACAACTCAACTGTTTCTTTTCACTTCTGTTACAGCGTTCTCCACGTGTAGCATCGGCATCGCGTCGCATTGTGACGCTCTTCTTGGATATTTCGGGCAACCAAGCGCGACAGAAATACTGACTAACATTAACGTCAATTCTCGATCCCTCCACGATCTGTGAAGTCTGGTTTCTGTTTTCAACATGTTTGATCAGAACATAAATTTCATAATACGACTCAAAATCATGATTTCATAATAAATCACTCAAAATCGGTGTGATTTTGAGTGATAGGGCCTAAATGGTCCAACACCAAAACATAAAACATAACCTCAAACATAAGCGCAATCTTGATTATCAATACATTTTATCAATTATCTCTGTTATTGAGTTGTGAGTCGTTTATTAGACGACCATGTTGAGTAAATTGTGACGATTCTTATAAGTCGGGCGGGAGTGGCACAGATTTATAACCTAAGGATTTGTCCTGCACGGACACCTGACGGATGAGAAGGGTCGGACATCACTCAATCTCCGTGACATTCACATCGTCTCACTAGTTTATAGCTTCTATTATTGTTTGTGGTGTGCAAACAATCACACTCCCTCTTTAAACCTCAAAATGTAGGTGACAAAGATATTGGACTATTGTGGTCTTAGGGTATTCCAGTTGTTTATCAAGGACGTTGACTCATATTTCTGTCCGACACAGGACATTAGCCTGTTTGACGCAAGTGGTGCACCCTGCGGTATTTCTAGAGACACGTCCAGAAATACGCATGGGTTAGCGTTAACACCATCAGTCACCCAGCGCTAACAGATACTGCGATGGGCTCCCAGACCACCAGATTTATATCTTCGTCATTAGAAGTGGCTCCTCGACGGCGATGTTACCATTCTCCCCCTTCACCAATAGTGAGTTATTTCTCACCAAAAAATGGCTGTGTTCTTATGAACAAATACGACTTTTTAATCGCTAAACCAAATGATAGTAATTTAGCTTAGGGAAAGAAACATTACCATTATTAGACGTGGAATTACCTAAAACGGAAGCGTGGCGTTTCTGTTTTTTAGATCTGTAAATTAAATGCCAAAATTATTCTGCTATTAAGTGCTATTCATGAGTGCCCAAAGGGGGGAGGGGAGTGCTATAAATCCCCATAAAAAAACTAAACTCAAAACTCCCTATCCTCTGTAAGATTTTTAATTAACTGTAGCGATAAATAAGTAGAGTTCAAACTTTTTGAATAATGCCATTACCATTAGTTTCATTTCGTGTTTAAACTCATTAACGCATTTCTGGAGGAAGGCTTTTTCCTCAGACCTTCTGGAATAACATGTTAGGCAATCAAAATAAGATATAATAGTTTGACTCTCCCCGAAGACACTGTCTGGTGGTACCTATAATCTCCATTGACACGAGATAACGATGGTGTGGCTACATGTATTTATTTATATTGAAGCCCTATGGTTGGTAGGGTAGATGGACCACACCCACATGCCATAGTGTCACGAGGCGACAGCGCGTGGGATGAAAACTCGCCCAGGGTGTAATTAATTGATAACTTAAGCTCCTTATATCCACCCGACGTTCAATAAACTTAATTGCATTGGTACAAATTTAGACCACACAGGTTGAATTCTCGACCTTTATAAGACCATGTTAATAATATTTAGAATACAAAGCTTTCTTTGAAGTTAGTGCTTACAATACGCGTGTAAGGTAACGTAGTCAATTATTAGAAACTTACAATAGCGTCGGTGGCAATTAAAGTCTGTACGGAAAACTGCATCATTGACTCTACCTTCTCCACAATTAAGACGTTGTTAATTTTATTTCAACGTAGTTATAGCCCCTAATGTTTTACCCATATTTTCACAAATATACAAAATCTACTGTGTTCAGATTGATTTAATGTACTGAAATAGAACTTTTTCATATGTTATTCGAAACGGGGGGAATTTACAATCCTAAGTTAGTCCGTACATTGACGAAAACCCTTAACACAATGTTTAAAAATTAGTACCAATTTTGACTGGATATTCCAATAGAGTATAGAGAGCATTATGTTTTATAAATACTTCAGCGGGAGCACAGAACTCCCGTACTAGAGGCTGGGTTCAGAACTACCCAATCGCATAAAGATTTTAGCCATGTAGTAATGCGGAGGTTCTATGGTCCAGAGCCAAACTTGAGATCCAGTCCACTTACACAGAAAACAGAAAATTTTATGTTTTTCTTATACGAAAACGAAAAGCTACCCCATTGTTTAATATAATGAACAATTGTATGAAATCATACTGACATAACTCCCAGATACATTTGGCTATGAGAGCTCAGTTGACATCGTTGGATTGGTCAATGGTCAGTCTAGCGTAAGAGCGATCTCCAGATGAGTGACTATCAGTTATCAGTAGACCACTGATTGGTTATTGTGTCATTGTGTTTCAGATCTATGACGTCTGCTACCATGACGACGGCCCAGCATCAACGTCCCGACGCCTTTTGTTCGCCACCACCGCCCGCCTGCACCGCCTTCAGGTAATACTACTTATTGAACTGTTCCACGAACGAGTTCTATCATTACAACATGCGGGATATTCATCCCATCCGATATCTTATGCGTATAAGATATCCGTTGGGTTGTTGTTGACAAGTTTAAACGGTGTAATACGTTAACTTTTGTAACAGAAAAGAAACTTATTAGTTTACAGAGGTTCTACAATCTATGATGGATTTTTATGTCGTTTTGAAAACAAAACAAGTGAAATATTCAGACTTACCTATTCTATCAGATGATCTTAGCTATAATTGCGAATTATATTTTTGATTGTATTCCATTATATAACACAATATAATATAACTTTACCTAACCCGCCATGTTAAACTTCCTATCCCAAGCGTGATGTATACAACTTCTTTACTTCTCGAGTGATGTAAAGTTGAAAAAACTCACTCGGTGAGGTAATGAAACCCATTTAAATAACATTGAGTGTTTTACTTAAAAAATATTCCTCTATTGAGCCAACGACGATCAACGCTAGAAATCAGCTGTGCGCTTGAATTTTATTGTTATGCTTTGAAGAATTTTTCTAACCTAGCTTTTGTTTGTAAATGAACGTTACTGTTAGAAGATGAGTGAAGTGAATAATGAAAAATATTTCTCGTAACCTCCTGTATATTGTCGGGTCAGGTAAAATCTTGTACGTTACACGTTACGCAAGAGCGTGTTTACATCACTTAGGTGAATTATGCAACTCGCTTCCGCTCGTTGCACAACATTCACCTACGTGATGTAAAAACGCTTTTACTACACTTGTAATGTAAATAGCTATTACATTATTCCTTACTTTAACTTCTACCTCGCATACAGAAAACAAAACACTAAAATACCATAATCTTCTTAGGTGATGTTCCAATAAGGAGTCAGAGACTTTACAAGCCAACTCTTTGGCTTATCATCAGAACACGCAAAACAAAGTAAACTTACTGTTTACACAGTCTAGAGTCTAGACTACAATCTCTTACGTGCCACATCTCTCGTTCTTTTGCGTTTGTCTGCCGTTTGATAATGAATTTAAACATTTAACTTACGAGCGAAATGACACATTTTTTTATGAACTTTTTTACTTAGCTGTTTTCATTAAGTTTTACTTTTGACAGTTTCGAACATAGCTGTTCTTGAACATAGTTGTAATTGATATAACTACACTATACGGATATTTGAAGAGAACTAGTATTAATTTGTGTTAAAATGATCCATAGGAAAATAGACTCAGTAAATAATTTGTTACGAATTCAGAAATGATCTTCCAACAAAATTTGAGAAAAGTTAACCAAGCGGAAAATGTATTGTCCACCGGTACCTAATACATATAGTTAAAATTTTTCAACGCTACAGGGCGTAATATAATTGTGTTTATATTAAGTGGCCAAAGTTTTATATTGTAAATGGGTAGGTATTTCAAATTTTAAGGTCCCTGGCTCGGTTCCAAGTGAGAACGATTACGGTTACTGATGCCATTAATTTGTCATTGAGCTATTAGTAAAAAGAAGCTACCTAATACATTAGCCGATAGTACCAACGTTCTCTCTCCCCCCTCTCTCTCCTCTCTCTCTCTCTATCTCTCTCTTAAATTCTTAAATTCAAAAGACTTAGAGCTAATCTCTTTTAGAAATATATAGTTTATAAGATTGTTAAAATGTAATAATGCTAGTACTGTAATAAGAAGTAAGCAAATTAGTTTTTTCTTCTTTTGTATATAGTATACTAAACATTATTCGTTTTATTTTTCTTGTACCGTATTAATTGGATGAACTAGTGTTATTGTAGTATAGTTAAAATATTTCAGTAGGTAAACAACTTGTTAATTAATAGAACAAAAAAATCTGCATTGTAATGAATATGTAATTGAGTGTAACCTCAACAGTGTATTGTACTGTGTTTTGTGCCTGTTGTGATGGAAGATTGGACCATCGATGTCTAAATCACAGCAGCAGCAGGTGGAATAAATAGTGTCAAATCTCTCTCTTGTATAAATAAAATCACTCTCTCTCTTAAAAATGTCATAGTCTAAAGTCATATATATTATCAAAACCGTTGTACTCCGACTTCTACCTGACAAAGCGGACTTTCTTGTACTGATAATAGAAACCAAATTAGCTAATTGCTGCATTTAGTTACTTTTGCCACACTCTTTTTATTTTTGCCGCACTCATTTTTTGCCGCACTCTAGTATTTCGACCAAAACAACACAAAACAGAGTGTTTTTATTAGGCACGTAAATGTAATACGTGTATGCTTGAAAATAAGTTGGTAACACTTGAAGATAGTATGTCTACGATCAGCTGTTGCAGTGTTTCCCAGTTCGTTTGGATTTAACCTAACCTAAAAACGTTGTTTGGTGTTTGAAAAACTAATTATTTCTATGGTTTATTGAAACTGTAGAAAAAATATAATGTGTAATACGAGCGCAAAGTGCCTTTGCCCTTTGCTGCACTAGTTAGAAAAATAACTATTTTCGAGCGATGCTGGGAGAGACAATTTCCGTTGGATGGCGAGGTGTGCGCAACAAAGACACGAGTAAGCCGCGATCCGTCGGCCATCAATAATATTCAGGGGTGACAGGAAATGATGAATTACTCTGGTCGACCTGCACTGTCGATGTTTGCGTCCGATATTGACACTCCATCCCTCTGCTCTCCCAAACTCCTCTACTTTGGTACACCTATGCTTTTTTACTATTTCTAGAGCTTATAAAAATTGTCTTTCAACACAACAATATAGTTTACAAGTTGGTTAGTTTACACATTTCCTTAATGTCAACAAGATATTTCTTGAGATTCTTTGGTCAACGATTATATATTTTTTTTAATTATATTTTTTACGAAAGATAAAAAACTAACCAAATAATTTTGACTGATTAAGTAACGTCTAATAGTATAAAGCCAGATTAACTAATACTTGTTATTATTGTACCGTAGTTAGTTAGACATAATATATCTATATAGTTAACTATAGTTGCTCTGCCCGTGCTTCGCTTCGGGGCGAGAATTCACATCACCTGTTTAAATTTTACTTTCATATGTTTTGTTAGTAAACAATCTTATATACTAAAAAACTTTTGCAAAACTTATGACAGCTAGCCTGACCATACCACTGGACCGAATTACACGTGGTTGGTACCAAATGAAAGATATTTGCCTGTAGATGTGCAGAATCCCTTTATAAATTGAATTAGGCTCACAAATAAGCACGAAAAATGAATTTGAAATCTTTAAAAAAATAACATGGGTATTATGGGTTGCCATGGTGATGACGTAATAACAACAAAATATAAACAGAAAATCAAAACAAATGGAAGATATTACAAACACATGTTTTATTTACAGTGTGTGGGGGAAATAGAGAAGTCTGTAAATTACATAATATTTTTGGTTGGGTTTTCAACCACGGGGCGACCTCTAGGAACATATTATATAAAAATACTTATGGAGACTTTTCTTATGGGGATTCAACATGGGACAAAATTTTAAAGCTTACGACAGCTAGCCTGACCATACTACTGGGCCGAATTACACGTGGTTGATACCAAATGAAATTGTCTCTATATTTGTCCATTTTGCTTCGATTTCAGATATTGCTTGACTAAGTGTTATAAAAACGGAAATTAAACAATCTATTGACAATTTAACATGGGGTAAAATTTCAAGTCTAATAGGAGTGAGATCTGGAGAACTATTAGACAGATTTACATGCAGGTTGTGTTAAATTAAATGTTTCCCATGTGCCTGAAAAGTTTACTATTCCTTTAGTGAATCTTATATATTTAACAGCTTTTGGAAAACTTATGACAATTAGCCTGACCATATTACTGGGCCGATTTACACGCGCGTTGTACCAAAAGAAGGTAATGGAAGAAATTATAATCGCATCTTTTATTTACAGTGTGGGGTCAAAATAGAGAAGTTTGCACAATACATACTTTTGGCCACGTTTTTTGACCACGGGGTGAGCTCTCGTTCTAACTAAAATTCTTTCAAAATCCCTGTCATGGGTACCTTTAAGACGGTCCCAGGGCTAAGCCCTGAAATTTATCACGAAATTTTTGGTGTATAAACCTACCACCATGAAATTCTACATGTATGTACCAAGTTTAGTGGCCATCGGTCTAGCGGTGTCTGAGTTTATCACTGCCAATGCCAAATATACAGGGTGTTTTCGATATTGTCTGGACATATTTTGTGGACTTGTTCCTTGGGCTAAGACAAACCTAAAATGCTATAAGTATGGGTCTAAAATGCCTAGTCTGTTGGCATGTTTACGATTTTTAAAAACAGTTTTATATCTTGGGCATTTTTCAAGATTTTGATCACGTTTTTAAATCTCTTTTTACCTTCTGAACTACACATTTATACCAATTTTGAAATTTATATCTTGAAAAATGTCTAAGTTATAAAATAACGTTCAAAAATCACAAACATACCGACAGACAGAAATCTAGGCATTTAAGGATTCATACTTATATGGCATTTTATGTTTGTCTTAGCCCAAGGAACAAGTCCCCACAATATGTCCAGACAATTTGAAAACACCCTGTATAATGAAGAACATCTACAAGATTAAGATTCCTATTAACGATAAACTAGGGTGTTAGCCAAATTGCTACCATTTTTAGTAGGAAACATTTACTTAAGTTTGTGATAATTGCAGAGGAAACCCCTCTAAGGCTAAATAAAACCGATACGTCAAAGACATTAACTATTTGTTTCCATAAAAATTAAGTTATTTTAGAAGAATATGACTACGGTACATCCAAGAAACCTTAACTAAACTTTCATTGGAGGATTCAATTATTATTCACAGTTAAGGGAAACAAAAAACCATCTGAACAACATTAGGCCTTTTATTTCTGGTAGATGTACCTATCTAATCATTGACTAAGGAAATAAAAGTCACAAAAATTCTTTGTTTCCCTTGTCTGTGATCTAATTGACGTTAGTCCAGCAACTAACCAAAAGAATGACAATTGAAGCGAATA